GACCAATGATTGGAAGAAAGTCCTGCTGATGCAACATAAGAATCACCATCATTTTCAGGCCATCACATCAGAGTTTAACTCTATAGTGATGATAACGGGCGTCTACACGACCTCGGGGGGCTACGTTATCTTCTTTAAATTCTGCTTGTTTTTCCTGCTTTATTTTCCGCAGGATAAAAGAATAAAGGCACGACGCCCTGATTCATTGGATCGTCATGAGGGGGAGAGTGGTCCACATGCTGTTAACTGTCAAAAAAATCATTCTGGGACACTTCTCTCCTCCAACACTCTCTCTACTATCTCTGCAACTCAAATGGTCAGCTACGCTCATAAGTCAATCATCATTATGTTCCGCTGTGCCACTGACAAGTTCTCCTCAAATGCATTCATTCCAAATAGTCAAAAAGACTACATTGTGGAGGAGACAGAGGTCAAATACTAATATACTGAAGATGAATCCCATGCACGTCCCTTATTCTTCAAAGAACATTCATTCTAGAGGCGTCACCAGACTTCATCCAAGCTGATCTAGAGCAACTTCTGGAAGGCAAGGATTACAAGAAAAAGATTCCTCAAGCCCCGACTTCAAAGATCAAACTGCCAAGAAAACATTAAAGGGGAGATTGCAAGGATTTCTTCATAAAGCCTTCGTAGAAGTCAAGTTCAAAGACAAAAGAAGCTGAATAACAACAAAGACAAAGATATCTGCGCTGCAATGCCGATTCAACACGATTGAACACCAAGGGGGAGATTGTTAGGAATATTTTATGATGTCCAATCTAATTAAATATCTTTGTATTTGTGTATTTATCAATTAAACGTATAATACGGGCCACAAATGTGTATCAGTCCGTTAGCTTCCTTGTAACCCGTAAGTTAGCCAACTTCTCCTATAAAAGGAGGATAACTTACGGGAACCCTAACTAACGTTCGAGGCTTTAGAGTTTAGAGGCATAGAGATAGAGAGATTAGGGTTTGCCACTGCTCTCCTTCTCCAGGGAGAGCAGCGGCCAGTTCATACGGTATACCAGATTCGGTTTTGATCATCTTCATATCTTTCTATCTGCTTCTTTATACCTGTTATGATTGTTTGATTGTTAAGTTTTGGGATTATCAATCCACTATCAATAAACCATTCTTGTTATATCTAGCACAGTGTTCCTGCAGAATTAAAAGAAAGATTTAGGTCCAAACACTGTTGGGTCCTAGGGGGTCATGGAGTCTTGGTAGTTGGTACCACTTTGGTCTCATCAAGTGAAACCTTGGTGGGTGGTACCCATTGTCGATCTGGTAGTCATAGTAAACTGAAGTGTGATTCACCTTGGGCAGATGCTTGTGAGGGTCATGCTTCCTGTTTACATATTTTTGCATAGCTTTCTTGGTAGGAAAGAAGTCCCATATACTATCAAGAGCAGATGGGTGGTTAGCCTTGGGCTTCTGAAGTTGACCAGTCAACCTCTTCTGTCTAAAATTAACTTTCTCTTGATACCTGCCTTTCTGGTGATCATTTCTAGCACGGTTATCATGAGGTTGTTTGTTGTGGGTTTGTCTTTGATTCTTCTGAAAACCTTTTCTGTTGTTAGGTTTTCTGCCAGGTTCATTAATCTTAAAAATGAGTTTCTGTTGAACCTTTATCTTTCCTTTTTCTGGTCTGACTTCCTCATGAGTAACCTTGGTACCAGATATACCAGCATGGCAAATGGGGCTAGAGATCCGTGGCTCTATGACCTTATCAACCTTAGCAACTTTGGTGCTAGGCCTTACAGAAGGCTCACCGGATTATGTTCTAACATATCCAAGACCAGAAACGGGGGAAAGCATTTGATCAATATCAACAGCCTTTAGAGAAGTTTGCATTTTCATCAGGCTATTGTATCTGACCTCAAAATGCTTAATTTATCTTATTCTATCAAGAAGAGAAACATTTTCAGCTTCAAGTTCATCCCTTTCCTCAATAAAGAGATTGATTTTTACCTCAGTCTCTTTTCTTAAGTTAGAGATTTCAACTTTTAGCTTACTGTTTTCTTCTTTAACTAAAGAATAAGTGGTTTGGATAGTTCTAAACTCTTCCCACAATGATGACATTGCATCATCATTTAAAGTTGTGCCTACCGAAGAAAAACGAGAATTAGAGGAAGAGATTACCTCATCATCAGATTGGGCCATGAGGCATAAGTCATCTGTCTCAGTATCCAGGCAACAGAAGGCCTCATCAGAATCAGAATCACATCTCGATTCTATCTCAGAAAGAGGATCTTTCTCGAGCTGTTTTGTGACGAGATCTTTCCTTCTTCTAGCATTGTCTTCATATTTCTTCTCTCCATCTTGTCCTTGTCTCTTGGACACTCTGGGGTGTTGATAGTTTGCCTTGAAATGTCCAGGCTGCCTGCAGTTGTAGCAGAGAAGCTCCCCACTAGTATCTGCAGACTTGGTCTTCTGGAATGGTTTTCTGCTGGCAGATGGACTTCTTCCATCTTTGGGGTTCTTCATGAACTTCTTGAATCTTCTGGAAAAAACAGCCATAGATTCGTCAGATAAAAGTATTGAAGGATCAAAATCATTTACCTTAGATGTACTGGCTGTGAGGGCTATGATGGTCCTTTCTTCAGGTACATCTTCTTTCTCTTCAATCATCTCGAACTCATGAGCTTTGAGGTCTGAAATGAGCTTGTTTGTAGGATAGGTCTTCACATCCTTGCTGGCTTGAACAACAACCACCTTCATTTTCCATGCTGAGGGTAGACCTCTCAACACTTTGAGGTTGATCTCCTTGGTGGTGAGTTCCTTGCCAAGTTCAGATATTTCTCCAGTGAGAGTAAGGAGTCTATCATACATCTTAGAGATGCTTTCACCAGGGAGAAGTTTGAAGTCATCAAACTTCTTGTTGGCAATGGTTAGTTTGTTGTCCTTCTCTTGCTCATCACCTGCTCCAATGAGCTCAAAACTATCCCAGATTTCTTTGGCGGTTTTGCACTTCTTGATTCTGTTGAAGTATCTGTCATCAATGGACTTGTAAAAGATGTCCTTTTCAATGTTGTCCAGATTGTATTTTCTCCTCTCTTCAGTGGTCCACTCAGATTTGACCTTGTTGATCATCTGAGGTCGTGTGTTGTCAATAGCATGCTCAGGGTTGACCTTTTTTGAGCAGACCCTGCCTAAACAGTACGTGTACAAAAGAAACAAATAGAAGGGTATAATGAATTTAACTCATCCCTCTTTGATCTCTATCAATACAAACTATCTAATTCTTCGGTTTCTCCCCATTGTCCTATTGTGATGCAATTTACTTTTTTATCGTCCCACAAATATAACACTTTTCTAAAAATTGAATTTTACTAAATTTTTACTTTCTCACTTTATCAATTTATCCATCATTTCACCCTTTGCTTTTTATGGAGATATATTAGTATATTACTATTTCTTACTTTTTGAAAATTAAAATGTAAAACAACCACTATACCTTTTATATTTTTTAAAGCATCTCCGATGGGATGTCTAGTCCTCTCCACTCCTACACTTTGTTCCAAAAAAGGTGGAATCTCCCACCCCCAGGAGCCCCCACCCCGACCCGACAGGATGGTGGGGAGGTTAGTCACGGTGACTCAGTCAGCAGAATGGCAGTAGGCCCATACACCCGTGCGCACCAGAAGTGCAGCCTTATTTCAGGTTCTGTTACCTCCACCCGGTCGTTGCGGGGATTCGAACCTTGATCCATTGTTCCAAATCTCCCACCACTCGACCAACTGAGCTACCCGTGCGGGTGTCTCCACTCCTACACATTTTTACACGTGGTTCCATTTTTTTCTATCTCACTATTTTTATGTATATGATCTCCATTCTCCATATTATCATAAACATTGTCTACAATTCATTTGTATATCTTTCTTTTTTCATTTTCCTTACACATCACTTTCTCTAGATTAAATTAAAATAATTACTCCCTCTGTCCCAATTTGATGGTCTCATTTCTTTTGGACACAAGTTTTAATAAAGTGGTTGAAAAGGTAAAAATTGTGGTTGAGATTTGAGTATAATAAAATGAAATGATATGGACCACATCTTTCTTTCCAAAAAAGGAAACATGACCATCATTTAGGACATCTCAAAAAGGAAATACAAGACCATCATTTTGGGACGGAGGTAGTATTTTATGTCTCTCCTATGCCACCAGGGTGACTACACTCCACCAGAGTGCGAGACTATCACATTGAAAATATGTGATTAAACATTTTCCTCGAATGCGTTTAAAAATTTTCCTAAAACATTTTCCTCGGATTAGAGCTTTGAATAGGGAATATGAGTTTTTTTAAATAAGCATTGATAAAATAAAATTAAATCGTATTTAAGACTACTCTAATACGTCTAATGCATGCATGCAACAGAGAATATGCGTGAAGTGACTTTTATTGATATTTTGTTGCTGTATAAGTGAGCGATCTCGAATTCAATTTGAATTTGAAGCAAAGACTTTGATTGGAATCCCACTCACTCTCCACCAGTTTGTAATTAAAACTCAATTGACCTCGTCTCAGTCCCAGATAGATAATTGCATGTCTGATTAGGAGTGGACTCGGGCCGGGCCAACCGGCCCAGAGCCAGACCGGCCCGCTACTGTGCGGGCCCCGATCGGCCCGGTGAACCGGTTGGTTGACCGGTTCGGGCCACCCGGCCCGGTGGGATGGCGGTTCGGGCTCGGGCCCTTCAAAAGGTGAACCGGCCCAGCCGGTTCGGGCCTGGGCCGGGACAATTTATTATTATTATTATTATTTTTTAAATTTTTGGGTTGGGCTGGGTATTTTGGGCCATTTGAGGTGGTTAGGGTTGATTTGGGGGTGAGGGGGGAGGGTTGGGGGTTAAATAGGAAAAGCCAAAAAAAAAAAAAATTAGAACCGAGGCCCAGCCCGGCCCGGACCCGGGGGTTACCCGGGTCGGTTCCAGGCCTCCCCTTCATGAACCGAGGCCCGGCCGGGCCCGAACCGGAACCGGTCCACCCCTATGTCTGATCAAGGAACCCCTCAGATATAGGGTGTCATCCTTTTTTTATAAACATGGTTTTAACAAATTACATTAGACATATAATTCATTTAATTAAATGGATAATACTAGCTTGCCTTGCAGGCATACAAGCTAGTAGTATATTGGACTGATATTCAAACTTCTGGGAAGCAAAAGGGAATACAGACTTGCAAGAAGCTTGCATAGGTGCCAAACGGAGCTTCTCCGGTTTCACAAGATACACTTTACAGGTCAGAGTGTACGTTAATAATCAAGCATCTCTTGGAAGCTTGAACTCCAACATCTCCTTTACATTTAACCGAATGGAAGGCCCCATGGATGAACACACATGAGCAGTTTTCCAGTACATTCCTTTTGCACCCGATGGCTTGTTCGCTTCCACTGATTTCTGTAAATTACAGATAGGGTACCCGATCATGTCCGGTACAAACATGTAACATATGAATCGGAGAGAAAATAGTGTGAAATTGAAGACGACGAAGAAGAAAACACATACCACAACAGCAAGAAAGTTTTGGATAAGGTCTTCATCTGAAAACCCAGTTTTTCCAAATGGTAAGTGGACAATCCCGGTCTTGTCTGCACGATATTCAACCTTCCCTTGCTTAAATTCCTGTATGGCCTGCGGAACAAGAAAAAAAATTGATAAACTTGTCCACCAAACATGCACATAACCCGAACTAAAATATTTAAATCAGAACTGGCTACAAAGATTCATATTACACCAGACGATAACTGGTGCTGTATTTCAGACAAGAAAAGTGGACATGATCACTAACGTTCATATCAAACCAGACCAGAATGATTGAGACCAAACCATAGCAAAAACCAGAAAGATTTAGACTAGATAAGAGTACAAGACCAAACAGGATGTAAAAATGAAGAGATATGTCCCAAATAGTAGCTTATGAGAAAGCATACCTGAGGTAAATTTGTCGTTACAGTGCCCGCCTTTGGATTTGGCATGAGCCCCCGAGGACCCAAGATTCTTCCTAAACTCGCAACCTGATGCAAGTAATATTAACTAGTAATTAAGTCTAATTATCACAGAGGTTCCTCCAAAAAAGAGACATGTTAAAGAACGTCCAACATGCTTCTGTGTCACTTGGCCAGTATCAGACTATAAGGACAGAAGAAGCACAAAACGTACTGCAGCATATATTAGAGAAACCAGCACTCAAATAGCATACGAGATTGAAAAACAAAATGTGTTCTATGTCCCTAAATTATCTGCATACTTTCTTTTTTCATCCATCTCAAAGTTACTGCCCACTTCCTTTTAACAAGAGAGCAATATGCGTGTGGATACTGAAATTTTAATTAACTTTTTGATATTTGATCAATTCATGGCTCTATTATTAGAGCCCGATGCAGCATGTTAAATGCTAAAGCCCAAATGAATTATTAAAATTGGATACCAGGCTCAAATTATGACCCATTACTCTAAAGGAGTTTACTTTCACATCAAAAATAGAGTTGGGACTCTCAAGCCACATGACTTTGAAGTTGATTCAGCCAAGAAGAAGAATTCTCATCTTATACCGACACCTAATGTGGCTGGAGTTATATGCTAATCGCAGATGGAATTATTTGGCATGCATGGGAAAGAATATTGATGTAGGACGAATCTGGATGAATACCTGTCCGAATTACTGGATAGCATGAATATGGTTTAAAAAGGCGTATATTAATTGAACGAGTCGAAAATACACGAAAATGGAGATCAATCCCATTCCACTTGAAACTCTTTACATATGGATGAAACTTTGGATCCCTAATACATATGTGCCATCCCCTCCATATTTATAAATAGGGGTCTTGTTTGAGAGGAATGAACCAAGAATTTCTAGACAGAAATTCTGAAGAAATTCTGGACGAAGTAACGCTGAAAAGTTTTGGAGAATTTTGAGAGAAGATTTTTTGAAGAGCTCTGAAGAAACTGTTCCAAGAATTTTATTAAGAACTCGTGAAGAACCTGTTGAGATGTCTAGTGTTCTTGATAAAATAAATCCAAGTTACTCAAGAAATTTTATACTTGTTGGAAATTTATTTTGGAGCTCCGTTTGACTTTCTGTTTATCAAGAATCTCATTTAATCCCGTCCAGATTAACTTTCAAGGTGTTAAAAGATATTCTTCAAATCAAAATTGAACTTTGATTCAATTGAAGAACAAAGCAGATATCTTGAGAAGCCCTTTAATGGAAGATCAAACCATAAAACGGTCCTTTTGTTAAAAAATTAAGCTATTTGAAGACCGGAGTCCCTTTAAGAAGATTTCTTAATGTAAGAATATCTGAAGGTTGGAAGATCGAAGACTTAAATATTCGAAAATAAAAGACAAATATTTAAAGATCCGAAGAGTGAAGATTTGAAGATCTCAAGAACAAAGATTCGAAGATCAGAAGAATTAGAGATTTAGTTTTAAATTAATTTCTTTAAATTTAAGTGAAGAATGAGATGATTCATGTTTAGAGATTGGACCTGATATTTCTCATATAATTGAGGTTGCGGTAAATGTTAAGTAAATCTCTATTACACTATTTTTATTTTCTTTAAGTGTGTGCCATATTTTCCATCATTTTCAATGGAGCCAAAGATTCATTATTTTTTGGCTTGAGATTATGATGGAATAAAGCAAAATGACTCACTAAACTCTCTGCGCTTCTTTGTTATGGAGGACCAGTCAGTCCATGCAATTTTGGACGCGATTTTCACTATGGGTTATCCGGAAATAGTCTCTCTGTGCTTTAGTATAGGGGTAAGACTGCGTACATCCGACCCTCCCTTACCCCACCGTAGGTGGGAGCCTTTGCGGCACTGGGGTAAATGAAATGAAAATGAAGTGTGTGCCATATCAAATTGGACACTAATTTAGGGACAAAGAATGTATCATTTGAGAGTTGCACACTAACTTATTCAAACTTAGGATAATTAAAGCTCAGATAGTAAGAAAACATAGAAATGGGGGGTGGGGGTGGGGGAATGGCTACACCTCTTCAGTTGAATTCTAGAAGAGTGCAGTGTGGAAAAGCATTTAAGTTTTTTGGGAGAGTAGTTATGTTCATTTAAGTGAGCAGCATATTGTGACTGTTAGTTTATCAGATTAAAGGGCAGCCGGATGCACATAAGTTTTTCAGAATGTTATACATTATTCAAAACTTGTTATGAAATTTTAAGTAACACATATTTCTTGAATATAAAACAGATGTTGCTAAAGCAAATTGACAACAAGAGTACAGGACCATGAAACGACACCTTAGCCATCATATCTGGCGTTGCGATTAATTTTTCAAAATCCATGAAACCTCCTTTTATTTGTTCTATCAAATCGTCGCCGCCAACAAGATCAGCTCCGGCATTTTTTGCTTCATCAAACTTCTCGCCTGAGGAGGAACATTATTAGTAACATTATGAGCCCAACAAAATACTAACTGCTGTACATAAAAGAACTCGCTATAAATCCATGCCAGATGATCAACAAATAATCTGGAGAGTACCTTGGGTAAGCACAGCCACTTTGACCGTCTGGCCGGTTCCCTTGGGCAAATTTACCTGAAATAGAAAAGATCAAGATATTTGAAGTGACTAATAATGCAGGTCACATCAGGTGTGACTAGAGCCAATGTGTGCTTCAATAAACAATAAGAAGACCGAAGACTCACGGTCGCCCTCAACTGCTGGTCATTATATTTCGGCTCAATGTTTAATCGGAAATGGGCTTCAGATGTTTCCACAAACTTTGTGCTTGCTGTTTGCTTGAGCAATGATATGGCTGTTTTCAAGTCGTACTCTTTCCTACTTTCCCTTAACTTCTGAATATCCAAGAATCTCTTGGACCTTTTCTGTTAAAAAGTGTAAGCAAGAACACCATTCAAACAAGTAGGAAAATACTCCATTTGAGCTTACAGGATGAACTCAAAATGGTTTCAGATACTAATTTGAGTATTTCAAAAAAAGATGAACAAAAATATGACCCACACCCATATCATCATATAAACTACTCCCTCCATCCCGAAAAGGTTGGCCAAATTTCCTTTTTTGGATGTTCCAAAAAGATTTTCCATTTCCATTTAAAGTAAGGAATATGTGGCTAAAATTATTCTCTCTCCTCTGCACAAATTTCAACCACACAATTTTTACTTAATTAATCCACGTGAAAGTCAACTTTGGCCAACCTTTTCGGGACGAAGGGAGTATATAAAAGGACTTTCAGCCACTCATCTAATCTTACAACTCCATAATCCATATATCCCTTTGTTATCTTCATTCTATCCTTTCTCGTCCGTCCTTAGATTGTCTCTTCTTTCCTTTTAAAATCGTAAGGAAATGATAATGTGGTTGTTATTGTTTATCTCTCCTTTAAACAAATTTCAAGCACACAATTTTCACTTTATTAATAACAGCGCAAAGTCGAACCCAAGAGATAAATAAGGGATGAGGGTAGTATATTTTTAATAGATTATAGATCATGTGAATAGATAATGGTTAAAAGGAAGCACCTAACAAAAAAATTAAGACAAAACTTTACAAAAAACAAGATTATTCTTGGTATCTCAAATGCCAAAAGATGAAATTCCAGGGCTACAAGACATGTTGACCTTTAAACCTCTTAGGTTCAGCCACAAACAAGAAAGTTTAGTATAAAACCCTCCCTTCTTTCTCATCCAAACTATATAACCTAAGTGGTTGCTAAAGACATCATATTGTGCGCACAAGAGTTTAGGAAAAGTAAAAATCAAGGAGAAACATTGGTTCAATGTCTTTTAAGAAAGAACCGCCTCGCATCAGGAATATAAGATACATATGTATCAGTGACGATCCTCCAAAACTATAAATAGAAGTTTGAAGTATTACATAATACCTTCACATAAACGTCCATTCCTCAAACCCCAACAAGAAGACAACCTTTACTAATTACTACAGGCGATGCAAGTCATTCTAAATTTAATATTTTTTCCATAATAAAGCCCCTACCATGGTATATCCTAATGAACAGAGATACGTAGTATAACTTAAAAGCTCATCACGATTATGATTTTGGTGTTTCATTCTATTCAACCTCATTCCTGATATGGACTAGTTGTGTATGTTCATATTTGGCCACTTTGGGGTGGCTTGACATGCCATACAAGATGTTTGCTCGTTACAGAAAATCAATCTTAAAACCTATGTGCTCTTTTTTATTCTTAGTTAGACGGATGATTAGTTTGAACTTAATTGACTTTAAACTAATTTAGTATGGCAGCCCATTACACTCAACTACTCAAGCACATAGGTCAATTGAACTAAGAATAGGAAAGAACATACTGATTTCAACATTGGTATTAAACTACGGCTGCTAATGGGATCTCAAATCCCAATAATAGTCACCCGGAGGTGGAAGCCAACCTCACTCTTACAAAAAAATGTTTTATGCATATTCATCATATAAACATATCCACTCCCAAGTGAAAATGGAATTGTTGATTTTTCTCACACATATTACCCCAAGAATTAATCACAACCTAGGTCTCATGAAGCGAAAATCCCATAATTCATGTAAAGAAGAACACAGACGATGTGTAAAATAGACCTACTCGGTCCCTCTTGAGAAGCAAAGCGGCCTTGCCTGTCTTTGGCTTTGTGGGAGCGCTTGAAGCAGCAGGCTCTTCCATATCCTCATCAGAAACATCTGTTTCAGAGGAGACAGAAGCAGCAGCAGCCAAAATGATTGATTTGGAAGAATGCCCATTTTCAGCCCAGTTAAAAAGGGGCGGCTTTCTCTCTCTGCAATGAAGATTGAGAGGGTTGATGGAAAAAATCTTGTTGGAGCAGAATGACAGAGCTTTGAACGGAAGACTGTGGGTGCATGAATTGAGTTGCTGTTGAACAAGTGAAGTGGATAGAGTGAGAGTAGAATGTGTTGAAGAGGAAGCCATGGTTCCAGAGAGCCTTCAGCTTGAGCACTGTGTTCGTCTATGCTTATCCATGTGGGAAAACTGACGACGTATATCTATGATATACTTCGTACTTCGTACATCACAAATGGACATATCATGGTTGGGCCTAAGCATGTGTCCGTAGATTACAGGTATGTTTGATTCGGTGACACAATTGGATGCAAATATACTTTTGTGGCTTTCTTTTGGGATATTTACCTAAATAAGAGTAAATAAAAGGATAATTGCAATCATAGGAGTTTAAAGTTTAAATTCCCCAAATAGGTATAACTCTTCCTATTCTACCCTTTCATTTGTCCTCGATAATAGGATTTTTAAACAATCATTATAAAATATAAAGAAATTAAAAAAAAAACGTAAAAAATAATTAAAATATATATAGACCTCAACCAGTACCTCAGCCACCTTCCAGCACCGCAACCTCCGGTCGCCGGAAAAGATTGCCAAGTTGGGGAAAAAATATCATCATGATGACAATTTTGAAGAGAAAGCAAGCAAAAGCTGAATATTTTCAAAGAGTAAAGATGTCATCTTCATGGCATTTTCAGAGAAATGTGGCATTTTTTACAAAGGATGACATTTTTTTTCGGCTACCGGAGTCGGTGGTGCTGGGAGGTAGAGGGCGCGTTGGCAGTGACGTACATATTTTTTAAATATTTTTTAGGTATTTTATTTTATTATTTGGACTTTTTTAAATAATTTATTTATTATTTTTAATTTTTTTATTTTTTTTATTTTTTCACGTTTTCATTATTATTTTATAAATATTTTATTATTTTTTATAAATAAAACTATGTTTTCTTATTAATAAAATAAATCTATTGGAAATTATAGGAAGGGGTAGAATGGGAAGAAGAGATATATATTAGTCCTATTTTGGTAATAAAAGGATTGTACTCCTAATGTTAAATTTTGGGCTTATTTTACTCCTATTTAGGGCTAATACCCGTTTTCTTTTATACTCCCCCCGTCCCGAAATTATCTTCATACTTTCCTTTTCGGTCTATCCCAAATTTATCACCTCTTTCCCTTTTTAGTAAAAAATTTGTGGTTCACAACCATTCTCACACATTCTTACACATTTCTCTTTCCTCTGCACAACTCTACACCACACATTTCTCACTATCTTAATCTGTGTGCCATTTGTACTTCAAGAGATAAATATGGGACGGAGGGAGTAACTTTTAGTTTTTAGTGACTGAAAACATTTTAAAAACAAAAGATAGTACCTGTTTGGTAAAAAACTGATTGTTTGATTTAATTCTTTTGGTCTACAAACTGTTAAGAATAATTAATACTAAAAGTCACAAACTTTTTTCAGATGTTACTCCTTGTAACATCTCAAAAAAGATCTTTTATTTTTGAAAAACTCTTAAAAATTGTCATGTCGAACATACAACTAGAAGCTTTTATAGACTTTTTAAACAGTACAAAAACTAGAAGATAGAGACTTATGACTACCAAATCATGACTTCTTTTTGTAATTTTAATTGAAAATCATGACTTCTTTTAATTTAACATCAATGCATTTTTAGCATCAAACATATTCTGTTAAATGTTAAGAGTCTAATATTGATCATTATAATCTTTAGTCCATAACTTCTAATTATGTTTCGTTTTCTTACTCCTTCCGTCTCACAAAACCTGTCTCATTTTACCTTTTCGAAAAATCTCACTCAAATTGTCTCATATCAAATTTGATAAATTTTGTGTGGATCTAAATCATTCTCACTTTATCAATTCAATACCAACCACATAAACTTACTTTTCTTAATAACTATGTCACCTCCTCTCGGGGCCGTCTTTAGAAATATTGATGCCCTAGACAAAGAACAAATCAACATAGCACTTAAAATATGTAACACAATTTTACAAGAAAAATACTACTACGTACTAATTTTAAGGGATATTTGCAATTCTCATCTCGTAACTTTTGACCGTTTTCATTAGTAGTCTCGTAACTTTAGTCACTTGCAAATTTTGTCCTGTAACTAATTAATATTTGTGATTTAAGGACTTTTGTTCTAAAAAGTACACTTTCCGATAATAGTATACTGGAAAAGACATCACCCCAATACGGAATCCAGTCGGTGAGGCCCATTTAGGCCTACCCGGTCCATTTCGGCCCGTCCAGACCTTTGCAGCCTATTTGACAAGAAATCCTCCCCCTAGACGGGAAGTCGTACGTCCCCAACAAGGCAGCTCATGAAGACACCCGAATACGGAAATACAGTGAACAAGGCCCCAGGAGACGTACGTACGTCCAGATACGTTCAGAGAGCCAGAATACGCTCAGAGACGTACATACCCTAGTTCAGGAGACGTACGTACGTCCGGATATGTTCAGAGAGCCAGAATATGCTCAGTGATGTACGTACCCTAGTTCAGGAGATGAACGTACGTCCGGATACATTCAGAGAGCCAGAATACGCTCAGAGACTTGTACCCTAGTTCAGGAGACGAACGTACGTCCGGATACATTCAGAGAGCCAGAATACACCAGGCAACCGTCGCATCAGGGGCCTACCGGACGAACGTCCCCAAAGCCCAAGCCTTCTAGTGAGACCCCCTGGAGACAGCCCAAGGAAGGGAAGAGGTTCGTCCCAAACAGGGGAGGTTCGGTTCCAGGAGATGTACGTATCCTAGTACAGGTGAGCAACTTAGCCCAGGGGCAGCGCCAGATGCACGTCTCGCAGGACTCCAGACCCTGCTTGAAACAGGAATCAAACTCATGGGGACGAACGTCCCCACCCCTGGGCGGGAAGCCGATATCACTACAAAAAAATTCGCCTGTAGTCACGGACCGTAGTCACGGATTTGGTCCGTGACTAGTTAGTCACGGTTCTAATCACGGTTTAGTCACGGAACCGTTAAAAAAAAGTAGTCACGGATTTGTCCGTGACTACGTCCGTGACTATAGGTAGTGACGGACCTAGTCCGTGACTAAAGTGTTCCGGCCAACCCATTTTCGCCTCCGGCGGGATTTTTTTTAAATTTGAAATTAGTCACGGGACAAGTCCGTGACTAGTACCGTGACTACAGTTAGTCACGGACACGTCCGTGACTAATTCCGTGACAAGTGCAAAATTGATTTTTTCAACGTTCCAAATTTAAAGTACAAAAAATATGTAGTCACGGACACATCCGTGACTAAGTCCGTGACTACAAAATTTATATATGCGGTCTCGGCTTCATTCAACAAAATCACACCTTCTACGTACTCCAGATAGAATTCCAGATAGAATTGAAGGATGTAATCTACCCATCTCATATCATTTTTCCTGTTTATGCAGATAAGGTATGTAATTTGAATTACGTATTTTTTGTAAATTAGTTAAATATGTAAATTTGTTAATAAATACATATGTAAGTATATTATTAAATATAATATTGGCAATACATATGTTATTAATTTTAAAATATAGGATTAAAATTACGTAAATTAGTTAAATACGTATGTAAGTATATATGATTAAATATAATTTAAATGCATATTATTAATATTAGTTAATAAATGTAAGTATTATTTAATTCAAATGACTTTATATATATATATATATATATATATATATATATATATATATATATATATTGTTGGGATATTGACCTAGAGGCCCAACACCCAGATCGGGAAGGCCCAAGATATCCGGCCCAAGCAACGGGCCCATCACTCTATGATGAATAGATCCAGTAAGAAAAGATACCGAACGGAGTTCGGCCCAAATAAAGGTTGGCCCAGTATGAAGACATACCGAACGCGGTTCGGGCTATATATCATACTTGGACCAATTGGATAACATCTTCAATACAGCCCAACATCCCGTCCGAGCAAGTGGCCAGGTGCAATTAATGCCAGACTATGCCATCAGCAAGTGGAATCATGGATGACCAAGTCGGTGGAACAACGGTCAATCAGCATGAGACAGTCCATACTCTCCATTAGTATAAATAGAAGGTTTCAAGTCATTGTAAGGGTTAGCATTTCAATACTCAAGCTCTAGAATAGCATCATTTGCCCTTACTTCTTGTATTAAAGCATAGTTTTCGACATACCGATCGGGAATTTCCTTGTAATCAGATTGGTTAATTAATACAAGTGAGCTTTCGAGTTTTAGTTAGTTCAGATCTTATATTTTCTTATACGCTTTGATTCTGGGCCATTCCTGATATATCCAAAGTTCGTGTTGGGCTTTCGGATCTACGGGATTTACCCTCAACATATATATATGATTAAATATAAGTATATGATTTCTTTATATTGGCAATTATTGTTAATTAAGGCGGCCTAATTTAGGATTAATAATGATTTAAATTAGGGTTAGTTAATTTAATTTAAATGTGTTTATTATATATATATATGCTCATATTATTTAATTTAGTACGTAAATTGTTAAATGTGCATTATTAATAAGATTAAGATGTTGATAATTTTAGTATTGTGGATTAAATTAATGTCATTAACGTATTGTGCATGTTTATAGTTTAATAATATTAATTATTGGACGTTAGTTAATTTTAATGGAATTTTAGTGAATTTTAGTGAAATTTAGTGAAATTTTAGGCAATTAGTTAATTTTAAGGGAATTAGTTAATTTTAAGGGAACTTTAGGGAATTAGTTAATTTTAAGTGAATTTTAGTGAAATTTAAGGAAACTAGTTAATTTTAAGGGAATTAGTTAATTTTAAGTTAATTTTAGTGAAATTTAAGGAAACTAGTTAATTTTAAGGGAATTAGTTAATTTTAAGGGGAATTTTAGGGAATTAGTTAATTTTAAGGGAATTTTAGTGATATTTAGTGAAATTTAAGGAAATTAGTTAATTTTAAGGAAATTAGTTAATTTTAAGGGAATTTTAGGGAATTAGTTAATTTTAAGGAAATTTTAGTGAAATTTAGTGAAATTTAAGGGAATTAGTTAATTTTAGGGAATTAGTTAATTTTAAGGGAATTTTAGTGAATTTTAGTGAAATTTAAGGAAACTAGTTAATTTTAAGGGAATTAGTTAATTTTAAGGGAATTAGTTAATTTTAAGGGAATTTTAGGGAATTAGTTAATTTTAAGGGAATTTTAGTGAAATTTAGTGAAATTTAAGGAAATTAGTTAATTTTAAGGGAATTTTAGGGAATTAGTTAATTTTAAGGAAATTTTAAGGAAATTTAGTGAAATTTAAGGGAATTAGTTAATTTTAAGGGAATTAGTGAATTTTAGTGAAATTTAAGGAAACTAGTTAATTTGAAGGGAATTAGTTAATTTTAAGGAAATTTTAGGGAATTAGTTAATTTTAAGGAAATTTTAGTGAATTTTAGTGAAATTTAAGTAAACTAGTTAATTTTACGGGAATTAGTTAATTTTAAGGGAATTTTAGGGAATTAGTTAATTTTAAGGGAATTTTAGTGAATTTTAGTGAAATTTAAGGAAACTAGTTAATTTTAAGGGAATTAGTTAATTTTAAGGGAATTTTAGGGAATTAGTTAATTTCAAGGAAATTTTAGTGAAATTTAAGTAAACTAGTTAATTTTACGGGAATTAGTTAATTTTAAGGGAATTTTAGGGAATTAGTTAATTTTAAGGGAATTTTAGTGAAATTTAGTGAAATTTAAGGAAATTAGTTAATTTTAAGGGAATTCGTTAATTTTAAGGGAATTTTAGGGAATTAGTTGGTTTTAATATATTAATAATACTCCACATATAATATGTTGGTAATGTTTATAATTTAGAGTTTTTAACCTGTATAATTTTTTTATTATAATATTCAGGCATAATGTATAGACAAAATAGAATTTGGATGTATGATAAACATGCGGTATTGTACGGAATGCAATCAAATTTTCTTGAAGGAGTTGAGGAGTTTATTAAATTCACACTTGAACATCCGGCTTATATGAGTGGTGATAAAATCATATGTCCATGTTCAAAGTGTAAAAATCTCAAATTTAAACACCCAGAAGAAGTTGGGTGGGATTTGTACGCGGACGGTTTCCTTCCCAATTATTACAATTGGACTTCTCATGGCGAACCTTTGGATCCATCTGTTTTACCACAAATGGTAGGTTCGTCTCGTAACCTCCCTGCAGAGATGAGTGCGTGGGGAGACTCTGCTGAAATGAGATTGGAGCAACGTATGGTATATGACGCATACGGTGCATCGATGTCTCAGTTCAACCCCCCACAACCATCTAACGATCCTCCTGAAGCTTCGACCTCGTATCAACCACATGAGGATGAAAATCCGATATTTTATGAACCTTATGTGGATGAAGGTTTAGCTGAAAGATTTCAAGATGTTTTAAAAGCAGCTGATCAATCCTTGTATGCTGATTGTGAGGGATACTCTCAGTTATCCGCCGTTACAGAGTTTATGAACATAAAAGCTGAATACAGTCTCCCCGAAACTTGCATGACTAGAGTTTTGCAGTCAATAGGAGGGATGCTACCACATGATCATAACCTTCCGGATTCATATTACCACATGAAGCAATTAATGTCTAAGTTGGGGCTACCTTATATAGAAATTGATGCGTGCCCGAAAGGATGTATGTTGTTCTGGAAGGATGATGAGACACTTGAATTCTGCAAGTTCTGTGGTGGAAACAGATACAAACCAGTTCCTCAAAGTAGAAAGAAACCACGAAATAAGTCGGCATTGTCTAAACTGTATTACCTCCCAATAGCTCCACGACTTCAGAGGATGTACGCTTCGACTGCTACTGCGAAACACATGACATGGCATGTTGAGCACGAAACAAAAGAGGGTATGATGTCTCACCCTTCGGACTGTGAAGCTTGGAGACACTTTGACCGTTGTCATCCTCAGTTTGCAATGGAGCCACGAAATGTGCGACTGGGATTGTGTTCAGACGGATTTGCTCCATTTGGAAAGTTTGGGAAGAACTATTCATGTTGGCCGGTCATGTTAACTCCTTACAATCTCCCTCCCGACATGTGCATGAAAAGTCACTTTATCTTTTTGACTCTAATCTGTCCGGGTCCCAATGATCCAGGGAAAAAAATAGACATTTATCTCCAACCCCTTATCGAGGAGATGAAAGAACTTTGGGCCATTGGAACACCAACATATGATGTTTCAAGGGATCAAAATTTCATAATGAAAGCTGCCATCATTTGGACCATTAGCGACTTCCCTGCCTATGGCATGCTTTCGGGATGGAGCACACATGGTCTTATGGGATGTCCGATATGCATGGAGAAATCAGGTGCCAATTGGCTAACTTTCAGTAAAAAACTAAGCTACTTTGATCGTCACCGCAAGTTTCTCCCGGAAAACCACCGATATCGAAGGGACAAAAAGTCTTTCATTAGAGGTAGAGTGGTAAAAGACACCCCGTCCCCGAGATTGACCGGGGAAGCAATTTTTAACCGGGTTCGACGTATTCCTACGGTTATGCAAGAACCAAATAAGAAGCCATATGGGTTTTGTGATACCCATAAGTGGACAAAGAGGAGTATCTTTTGAGAGTTACCATATTGGAAAGACCTTCTCATTCGTCACAATATAGATGTCATGCACACTGAGAAGAACGTGTTTGACAATATATTTAACACAGTGATGGATTTCAAAGGTAAAACTAAAGACGGTCTTGCATCTCGAAAAGATATGACTATTTGGTGTGATAGGCCTGAACTATCTATTGATCTAGAATATCAGGGCAACAATATTCCAAAAGCAGTCTACCAAGTCACACAAGCACAAAAAGAATCAATATTACAATGGCTTGTGTCTCTGAAGTTTCCAGATGGCTACTGCTCCAACTTGTCCAGATGCGTGGACATGGACAAACTTGCAACAACGTCGAGCATGAAAACTCACGATTGTCATGTAATCATGCAAAGACTTCTCCCAATTGCACTGAAAGAGATGCTTCCTGAACACGTATGGTCCTGCATTACTGAGATCAGTTTGTTGTTTCAGTCGATATGCTCAAGCGTTTTGGATGCAGCATCCCTCCGTAGACTAGAAGAGTCTGTTCCCATGCTGATGTGTAATTTGGAAAAGATAATGCCTCCGTCGTTTTTCGATGGAATGGAACATCTTGTAATACATCTTCCGTATGAGGCTTTAAATGGTGGACCCGTCTTCTATCGCTGGATGTACAGATTTGAAAGGTTAGTCACAATTTCATTTATCTTTGAATATTTATTTCATAACAACATTAATATGTGTACCACTTTTATTTTACTTTGCAGATTTCTTGGAGAGTTGAAAAAGAAAGTGACCAACAAGGCACACGTTGAAGCTTCAATTTGTCAAGCATATCTTCAACAAGAAATCTCAACGTTCTCATCTTTTTATTTTGAGCGTGAAGTCATCACTAGAAGAAAGAGACATGCCCGAAACGATGACATTGGCGAGGATTTTTATGAAAATGTAGTTTCCATTTTCAATTACCCAGGTAGAGGTAAAGGAGCTTGGACAAACCGATACATCGTGGGAAAAGAATTACAAATTGCGCATACTTATATGCTCATTAATTGTCCAGAAATCTTATCGTTTTATCAGTAAGTTAAATTTGTAGTTATCTTTGTAATATATAAACAATTAAGGTAGTTGATTTATAATATTTTCATGTTTGACTTCACAGTGAATTTAGAACGGAGTACTCAGCATTCCCTGACAATGAAATTGATGCATTGGTGGACTCTCATTTTATACCGTGGTACAAGCATCAGGTATATATACATACACACACATTAATTATATATATTATTAATTAATAATATTTAATAATTACCCAATGTTATCGTGTTTTAATTTACAGATCAATAACCGTGGGATTGTGGACCCTTTGTTAGTATCATTATCGTGGGGCCCTGGTGCCTACGCCAAAGTTTGGCGGTCATATGTGATAAACGGTTACACCTATCACACAGTCGCTTACGGACAGGGCTGACCAACAGTGAACAGCGGGTTATGTGTCCCAACAATCGGTTATGATAACTCGGAAACCAATTTTTTTGGTGTCTTGCACGAGATTCTCAAACTGGAAATGCCTTCTGCTGGGAAAAAGTTGACATGCGTTTTGTTCCGCTGCAAATGGATTGATCCAACACGTGGTGTGCGAAAAAATTCAAAGTATAATATGATTGACGTCAACCACTCTCGCGTGTATACGAAAAATGAGCCTTTTATACTTGCTCAACAAGCAGCCCAGATTTATTATACAGAATATCCTTCAACCAGGCGGACACAAAATCCTTGGGTGTGTGCATGTACTGTCCGTCCGAGCAAAATTGTATCACAAACTCAACACAAGGACGTTGATTTAGATGCTTTTCAGCAACATTTTTTCCAACCTCCACTGATTGTTGAGACGGTCAACCAGCACATTCAGCTAAGTGATCCAAATGGGGGAAGTGTTGAAGTCATGCCAGAAACGCACCTTCTGGGCCTAACAATTCCATCTGAGCGCGAAATTGTTGAAATGCATGAAGAACAACAAAATGCTTATTATCAGGAAGAAGGAGAATGAATAGACGGTTCTGATACAGAAGAAGATGTTGTATATGTAGAAAATAATGACTCTGATAGTGACTAATTGTATTGTTGTATTACAATTTTTTTGAGTTCGAATATTTGTACTCTTTTCTTCATTATTATTGTAGTCCAACAATATTTGATTTTTTTCTTCATCATTATTACTCCGTAAAAGATAAGTACGAAACGCACAAATTTTTTATCACAATCAACTAACGAAACATTAATCATTTATTTATCATAATAACCAAACAAACAAATACAAAATTATTCATCAATATCAAAACTTTCAAGAGGCCTATCCAACAGCTCGTGAATTTTCCTTTCAGCTTCTTCGTTGATCGGATACATATACTCCGAACATTCTTCTGCACGTTGAAGCATCCGACACAAGTTGTTTGCTTTTGACTTGCCGAGTGAGTCGAATTCCTCATCTTTATAGTCGCCAAAACTTTCAAGGGGTCTAGCCATCAACTCCGTGATTCTCTGGTATGCTTCAACGGTTTTCGACTCCATAAGCTGTGTAATTAGCTTGAGTCGTTTCATAGCTCTGCACATCGAATCCCAGTCAATTGGTTCTCGATTAGCCATTTTTTTCACAAACATTGGACCGGAAATCATCTATTTATACTCAAAAATCGAATATAATAAAGTGGAATTTATTCCACTGTCGCCTGACGCCGGCCTACGCGTGTTGAACGGATGGAAAGTATTTAGTCACGGACCGTCCGTGACTAGATCCGTGAATAATTCAAAAATCGTACAGGCCCGTGACTAGGTCCGTGACTAAGGCGGTCAAAGTCGGCCCTGACACCTCGTCTGCCGCGCGTCTGACTTCGTAATTTACGATGGCTAGTCACGGATTATCCGTGACTAGGTCTGTGACTACGCCTTCATATAAAATCAACACTTAGCTGATTTTTCATTCCGCATTCCTTTCAAACCGGCCAAAACTCTAAATCCTTAATTTCTCCCTCTACACTCCACCGATCTCAACTCCAACTCTGCCTTCAACCGTTCGCTGCCATCGTTCGCTGCCGCCGTTCGCTGCCACCGTTCGCTGCTGCCGTTCGTTGCCGCCTTTCGCTGCCGCCGTTCGCTGCCACCGTCTTCTGCCACTGTCGGCCGCCTCCTTCCTTTTTCATAAAGGTTATGTATTCTAAATTTGATTTACCTTTAATTCTTATTTTTAGTATTTGATTTTTATTTTAAAAATGCATGTTACGATAAGTGTGTTCCCATTATTCTCAAATTGTTTAATATGATTTAGTTAATATGCTCAAATTGATTTATGTATATGTAATTTGATTTTAGTTAGTATCTCAAATTGATGCATGTGGAGTAATATGATTTCGAAATATAATTTCATTTAGTTTATAATATTGCTTTAATTTTAGAATTGAAATATAATTTAGTTTTCGAAATACTTGTTTTCTGTACATGTTATTAAATTCATTTTTGTATGCATGTTATCAATTAATATTAGAAGCACACGTTTTTTTGAAATACATGTTTAGCACACGTTTTTTCGAAATACATGTTAATATGTTCAGTTTATTACATGTTCTATATGCTCAAGATAACATGATTTAGTTTGTATATATGTTTAATTGGCATGCCTTTATTTCTTGTGTATAAGTTTAATTACATGTTCTATATGCTCACTATAATTGACATGATTCAGTTTATTACATGTTCTATATGCTCAATATAACATGATTTAGTTTGTATATATGTTTAATTGGCATGCCTACATTGGTTGTGTATAAGTTTAATTAATATGTATGCCTACATAAAATTTCATTATAAGTTAAACATGCATGATTAAATATTATCTTTTTTAATTTCGGACTTATGAATTAAAGAACATGAGTTAGTTTAATTAATATGTATGCCTAATTACATTATATTCCCAAATAATTAAAGAAATACCCCCTCGTGTTAAACCTCCAAAAACGTTTAACATGTTAATTATAAAATATTAAGTTAGACATGAAAAAACAGTTTTCTCAAATTTAAAATAAAATATACACTATGAAAAAACACTGTTTAATAAATAAACCGTTTTAATTAAAAAGTTTTCCCGAAGTAATTAAAAAAAAATACCCCCTCATGTCAAACTTCCAAAAAAGTTTAACATGTTAATAATTATAAAATATTAAGTTAGACATTAAAAAACAGTTTTCTCAAATTTAATATAAAATATACACTATGAAAAAACACTGTTTAATAAATAAATCGTTTTAATTAAAAAGTTTTCCCGAAGTAATTAAAAAAAATACCCCCTCATGTCAAACTTCCAAAAAAGTTTAACATGTTAATAATTATAAAATAATAAGTTAGACATTAAAAAACAGTTTTCTCAAATTTAATATAAAATATACACTATGAAAAAACACTGTTTAATAAATAAAGCCGTTTTAATTAAAAAGTTTCCCGAAGTAATTAAACAAAATACCCCCTCATGTCAAACTTCCAAAAAAGTTTAACATGTTAATAATTATAAAATGTTGAGGTAGACATAAAAAACAGTTCTTAAAAAACAGTTCTTAAAAAACTGTTTTATAAAAAATAAAAAACTGTTTTATAAAAAACTGTTTTATAAAAAACTGTTTTATAAAAAACTGTTTTATAAAAAACTGTTTTATAAAAAACTGTTTTATAAAAAACTGTTTTATAAAAAACTGTTTTATAAAAAACTGTTTTATAAAAAACTGTTTTATAAAAAACTGTTTTATAAAAAACTGTTTTTTAAAAAACTGTTTTTTAAAAAACTGTTTTTTAAAAAACTGTTTAATAAAAAACTGTTTAATAAAAAACTGTTTAATAAAAAACTGTTTTATAAAAAACTGTTTTATAAAAAACTGTTTTATAAAAAACTGTTTTATAAAAAACTGTTTTTTAAAAAACTGTTTTTTAAAAAACTGTTTAATAAAAACTGCTTTTTAAAAACTGCCTTTATTTAAATCAAAATTTGATCTTCTATTATATTTACACAATTATTTGAAAATGTAAATTAATACTCCTCATTAATCTATTATTTTAGATGAGCAATGAACAATCCACATCCCGTGCTCGCCCGAACTATGCGCCCTTAACCCAAGCCGAGCGCAACAATGAAGATTCGAAATGGGTGACACCTCACATGGTTGCTAAGTAAGTAACTATGAACTTTATCTAATGTCAAATAATTTTATCTAATGTCAAATCATCTAACTATAAAAAAATATTAATTTTTTGAAGCGATCAAGATGTGCTCAATCAAATCAAAATCATAATTGGTGGACACTTTCTTGACAACTGGGCGACGTACACGGATGTTGATCCTAAGGTCTGTGAACTTTGGTGGAACTTGTTCAAGGTAAAAAAATCAATTTTTCGTCATTGATGTAACATAAAATTTGACAAATGATAAGTTAATTTATTTTTTTAATAAAGGCCCGGTTTCGCTGGACTGAAGAACAAGGCCCCGCTATTCTAAGGGCGTACAATGCCAGAGTTTCAAACTGGCTTCGCCCCACTTTTAGGCGTGCCCGAGCCAGTGGGGTAAGGCCTCAATGATGTTCGGATGAGGTATGGGAAAACCTCGTCCGCCATTGGTCTTCGCATCCGACTTTCTTGGCTAGAAGCGAAGCCGGGAAGAAAAATCGGATGTCCGAGAAGGCATTGACGACACAATGGCACGGAGGCCGCAAACCCCAGAGTAAACATAAAGAAGCTCTTGTAAGTCTTATTTAAATAAACCTACGCCATTTTAACCTTTTATTTTTTTACATTTATTTAAACCTTTTTCTGACCTTGTAGGCGGGGCCTCAAAAGAAGAGGGTCCCTATCCTCAGTGTAATCAAACACTGTTGGACGAAAATCGGTGTTGAGTCGCCAGCCAATCTACCACCCCGCCTTGCTGAAATCGAAGTATGTAACATCAATACTATTATTTCAAATTGAAGTAAATATCATTTGAATAATTTTTTTAAATGTTTATAGACAAAGTATAACGCAAATGTTGAAAAGAAGCGGGCGGAACTTGGCTTGACTCAAGAAGATGACATCGATTCTGATGTGGAAGATGATGCCATCCTTGAGGCAACAGGGGTGTACAAGGGTCGGCTTCCTTGCCTCGGGGCTGAGGGGCAACGTATTTTGTACGATCGCAGCGGCAGCGGAGCTTCATCATCTTCTAAATCCAGGCGAGGAGAGGATCCACGCATTGCCCAATTGCAGCGAGAATTGGAGGAGGAGCAGCGTGCATTTGAATAGCAACGGAAGAATGATGAAGAAACGAGGGCCCGACTGGAAGCAATGGAACGGATCCTTGCTGGATATCAGCCTCCGCCTCAGTCTCATCCTCGGCCGTACATTATGCACGTTGAGCAGACTCCTCAGGTTCCGCACATGGGTGGTATGGGTTACCACTCTAACTCCGGTTATGGTGCCATGCCTGCAATAGGGTCGACATTCGGATCTCTGTCGCCTGATATGCTCAATCAGTTTCAGTCATCGGGTGGAGGCAGCCGAGGAAGCCACCGAGGAAGCCACCGAGGAAGCAACCTAGGAGGCAATCGAGGAGGCAACCGAGGCAGCCGAGGAAGTTCCCGACCCTTGGACACCGTGGATGCAGAAGAGGATCATCATCGTGACTATGATGATAATGATGATGAATACGATTATGATGATTCTAATTTTTATCACAATGGAGTCCGACGTACGGGCATGTAATTACATTATATTGTTTGACATTGTATGGATTTTGTTTTTATAATTCTGTCTGTAATAACATTTTTTATGTTTAAGATCGTATGAAATTTATTTTTATTGTAATTGCTCTAAAATAAAATTAAAATAATTTTTTATTTTTTTATAAAAATTGTTTTTTTTAAATCAAAAACATTAGTCACGGACTAAATCCGTGACTACTTTTTAATCCGGAATAATTTCAATTTGCGTTTTTTTATTTTTTTTATTTAAAATTGTTTTTTTTTAAAACAAAAACATTAGTCACGGACCAGATCCGTGACTACATTTTATCCGGAATAAATTCAATTTTTTAAATTTATTATAGTCACGGATACGTCCGTGACTACCACAAAAATAAAAAAAAATTAAATTGAACTTAGTCACGGCTCGTGTCCGTGACTAACTCAAAAAAAAATTAAATTAAAAGTAGTCACGGATATGGTCCGTGACTAACGTGCCGGAGGCTTATTCCGGTCAAGATGTAGTCACAGACGTCGATCCATGACTAATCCGTGACTACACCTAGGCACGGCCAATGGTCCGTGACTACATTCTAGTCACGCAAAACTAGTCACTGAACTAGTCACGAACGAAGTCCGTGACTAAAAGTGTTAGTCACGGACTTTTTACACTACGATCCGTGACTAAGTCCGTGACTACATGCGAATTTTTTTGTAGTGTATCCCGAACGGGGAGCCAATATCCCGAACATTAGTCAAACTCATGGGGACAAACGTCCCCACCAGTCAGGACCATCAATCTACTGCTCGAACGGGCAACCTGCAAGTGGTAAGGAACATTAAATGTTGGAGCATGAGGCTCTCAAGTAGCATGGGGAACAACCAATCAAACGGGAGCACCTCACCTCTTTTTGGCAGTATAAAGAGGAGCTTTGCCTTCATATGTAAGGGGGGATCTTTGGCTCTTCTCTCCTGGGATCCATCTTCTTCCTCCCTACTTCTTCTTCCTCTTTAGAAATAGGATCAACCTCCATTAATGGAGCTCAAAAGTTTGTACTATGTAAATGGTGAAGAGAGGATTAATGAGAAAGAGCGAGCTAGGACGTTAGACTAAAAAGTCTCGTGGTTTTCTTCCTTTCCGGGTTTCCACGTAAAAACGGAGCATTTTATACATATTTATATATATATATATATATATCTAATACTTTATGTTGGACTAAACTCAACGTGACAAAAGCACTCAATGCAACAAAGCAGTCATGCGTAGGACTAACGTGCCACTTTAGCACATGGGAAAAAAAAAAGATGAATTCCAATGCACCGCGCTCTACCGAATCCAAGAGCCATGCACAACTACTCGTATGCCCAGATCTCAATCAAACGTTGCACCGAGCACAAATAGGCGTTTTTCTGGGCCAAAATGTCACTACTCCGAGATTTGGGGTGTATGTTTATATATCTACCATAGGGGGCAGTGCTCCAGGATTACACATAAATTGCAAAACTTCCAAATTTTTTAAAAAGATTACGCATATAAATCAAAATTAATCTAAAAATATATATAACCCGTGAGAATATGAGATATGGAAATACAATTGAGAGTAAATACGGAGTAATAAATGGGATATCGGATAATAAGTTATAACAAGTTATAACGTATAGAGTATAGAGAAATTAAATATCACATTTCTTTAAAAAACTAGTGACAATAATGAAATTATAAAAAAAGTACTTTTTTTATTAATTTTTAATTAATTTTATTTTTTAATTTTATCTAACAATATTAATGTCATATGAAAGATTATAAAGAATTTTTTGATTTGATTCTTTTAAAAAAAATTGGAATATAGATGAAAAAATCATACTAGTAACAAACTGAAAATATCAATTGTTATGCCAAGTTCCATAATCGGTCATTCTCCCTAAATGTATTATGGAATAGGGAAAAATAATAAAAATATCCCAAACTTTGAAGGGGTGTGAGGTAAACACCCCAAACTTGTATATGTAATTTACATACCCCAAACTTTATATAAAAAGTTATTTTCGCACCGTTTCACGTATTATTTCTTTCAAAAATGTAAATTTATAGTGTTAATTGCATAATTTAAAATATTTTAGAACTCATGAAGACACAATTAACACTCTAAACTTCCATTGCGAAATAAATAATGTTACCCCTAATCTATATAATTGCAACACTTATAATTTGCTATTTTAAATTATGCAATTAACCACATAAATTTAAATTTTTGAAAGAAATAATACATGAAAATGGTGCAAAAACAACATTTTATATAAAGTTTGAGATATTTAATTTACATATGCAAGTTTAGAGTGTTTATCTCACACCCTTCAATGTTTGAGGTATTTTTATTATTTTTCGCTATGGAATACTACTCTTGTATGTTCACATTTTTAATTGCCAAAAGCAATCAATCAAAAGTAAGGAGATGGCCAAATGGGATAGAGTGAGAGGTAAATGGGCATGACTTATGAATTATAGATGGGGCCTTGTGCTCGTGAGAATGTTAGACAAATTTTTGCCTTTTTTTTTTATGTGATCCATATGAATGGCCGAACACATACCTCCTAAAAATGGGTAGTACGGAGTACATGGTAGTAGCAATTTTTTTTTTAAAATGGGGCCCTCCCTAAAATAGGTGCCCTAGGCAAGTGCCTATGTGCCTGGCCCCTATGGCGGCTCTGCATCCTTTTGTCCCAATGTTAATGGGACGGAGGTAGTATTTTTAATTTTATAAAAATTTCTTAAATTTTACGGAGCATCTATAATCAACTTATATGAATTCCAATATGTGAATCTAGAGTAATATTATACTTTTGATATGACATTTTGATATGAACATAACAAGTACCAAATCAACTCATAAAATTTTCAAAACCTCATTTGAGCATCAAAGCATCTTCATTGTGTATTGCGTTCTCTACTATTGAGCATTGTAACTATGTGAGCAAGCTCCAATCTGGTCATCATGAGCCCCAATCTGACCTGCAATGGTCGAAACCTCCCATTGATGAATGGCAAAATGCCCTTTATTGCCACATAGAATAGTTGGCCCCTAACGCTAGGATTGGTCAGCTGAGAAAAGACCATGCTCAGCTCTGCTTTGTAGCGGCGTCTCAAAGTCAGAGGTTGCCCTCTCCGTTCAGTTGCGTTGTCCCGAGAATAGGTCGTCCTTGATGTCGGGATCGTCGCGTTTCGTCGGTGGAGAAACTTTCGTGTTCTGCTCCTCATCAGCGATCGGTTGAAACCCTATCCACCAGATTCCGCTCCCAATCGAAAGAATGAGTATTTGTTCATCTTTGACTTAGTAAAGCATTGCAAAAAACAACTAGGCATTACCATGCACATGGTACGTCCGGTTGTACGATACAATTGTCCGTCTGTGTATATATGATTATATCATCTGATTTTCTAGTATTCACATTCAACTTTTACGTATTCGCTAACCTCGCACATGAGTAAACAGGCCTAGCTCAGCTTGAACCTCCAACGATAAGGGTACATGAACAACCATTAATTTGAGCTCCATCAAAATCTGCATTGAATACATATTTTCCAATACCATGGTTTTTTATAATTCCTATTGTGCCCTTATAATGCATAGTCACTATAGTGTAATGTTGAACACAATTATGATCACTAAAGTTATTATGATAGTCACTAAAGTATAAAATTTTTATCCACCATCTTTATTTTGGTCATATATTTGTGATTACCTCATTTTATATTAATTAGTGAATATCTAACCATTATCATACATGTACTATAATATAACTTTATACCATGTTTCAATTTTTATACAACAAGTATGCCACACATGCAGATTACTCATGAATTGAATTATTTAAAAAAATAAATTAATTTCATATGTTATCAATGCAACACACGGATCAATCGACTAGTTTTCGTATAACATATTTTTTTTATAATTCCTATTGTACCCTTATTACTTAACACAACGAGAGTCGTCGATTCTCTTTTGGATCTTTTACTCACACATTCATGCTAGAAGTTGTTGTCTAAACTTTCCAATTTCCAAAATGAGTAAGAATTGAACAGAATTACATGTCTGGGAGCTCCCGCTAGTGACAGATTTCCTTGAGAAGTGCGACAATCTGAGCTAGAACGATGGCGGCCTGGCTATGGAGCTGGAACGTCACGACACAAACCTAAATGAACCTTAAATGTAAGTGACTCTTACTCCTGAGTATAGCTTGGTATCCCATTTTCTTCTAGAAAAAATGTATAAATTACTACTCACACAAACTAAGTAATTGGCAGGTAGAGACACCTCTTAGCTTTCTGCAGGTGCAGTAACTTTACGATAATCACTTGTACAATCATGATGCATTTACGCTTCTGCAGTCACTTCTTATCAGTCGTCATCCTTCCCTGGCTTCTCAATGTTACTTCCTTCTCATGTAAGTGCGTGACTCCTATTACTCAGTATAGCTTGTTATTCCATTTACCTTTAGGAAAAAATTAGTCACCACCCACACAAATTAGGTAACTGGCCAGTTGAGACACACATTTCTACAAGTGTAGTATTTGCAAGTAGTTATTTTATTGGACTTTAGCTTAGGTCTTTAGTGTAGTATTTGAGTGAGCCAATACATATTAGAAATGTTTGAAGTGGGAGGAAAGTAAGTATAAATGACAAACAAAGAAGGGGTGAAAATCTACCCTTCATAGATCCTCCAAATGAATAAAAAGAAGGAAATTAAATAAACATGCAATGATAATAGATTTAAGAAGAATTGAGAGGTTCGTGGTTGCATAAGTGGGACAGTTGTTAAAACGTATAAAATGAATATATGGAACTAGGCAGGTGGAAGAGTATGTCCAGCAAGGAAATGAGCAAGGAGGGAGAGGGCTCTTGCAGGCTGGAAACTGGGGACTTGATGTCCAGCTCCTCTCACAGTGGCAAATGTCAAGTTCCGATGATAAACCTGGGCATATCCCCCCACCTCTCGCCCTCTCATCATCCACGCATACCATTCATCCTTCACTGTCAACTCCATCTTCTTTAGTGCTTTCTTCGTTGATGTCACTGGTACCCTTCCATCTGTGTCTCCGCTGTGGTATACATACATACACAATTAGGATTTACTCCGTATGTTTCATTCTTAAATAAATCAAAATAACATGAACAATGAAAACTGTGAATTAAACATGTGCTTGGGCCAGGCCAGGGCATGAGCAACACGATAATATATAGTAGAATGCACATATATTAAACATTTATCTAATCATACCAAAATATCAGTTTAAGTAAAAGAATTTTTACTTAGCTATGCTTCACGGGCAGATAGGTTTTTATGATAACTAAAGTTAGTCATGGTTTAGGAAAATACAATTTGATTTTTATGAAAAGATGAAGAAACACTAGCCGTAACTATGAATTTGTTATGAGACGAAATTGGTATTGTTTCGCATTTAAGATAAAAGGAGCCCTTTATCTTAAATGCTAAACGGTACTAATTCCATCCCATAACAAATTCATCGTTGATTTCCACGGTTTTCAAATATGATGAAATTTTGACCATTAATAACTAAGAATATGTATGTAGTCATAAAATCTATACTAATTTAAGGTTTCAATAATATATACGATAGTATTAAAATAAAGTATTTGAAATTATTTTAATTTAAATTGGTGCAATAAAGTAATACTTCTTCTCTCACATAAACTTTTATTTTTCAACTACTTCATTATAAGTGTGTAAATCTCAAAAAAAGATACATAAATGATTCAGAATGGCGGAAGTATGATTTTTATATAATAAACGATCAAGGTTATGATTCGAAAAGTGCAATTGTGAATTTAAGTGGAGGAGGAATAGAGCATTAGAGGAATGTCAAAATTAAACAAGTTCTTGAAAAATTGAGTTCTTATCTCAGCTCGTATATCTATCAATAAGTAATACGTAGTACGAAGTATATAATAAACTCCATGACTATTTTTATAGAATTTCAAGTTGACAAAGAGTTCCGTCATTAGTTAATAGAACGCGGTCAAATGTGGAATGACCACGGCGATATTAATGAAACAATGACAATGGATAGGTCTAATACTATTTTGCTTCTAAAGAGAATGGACCCATTAATTTTAGAACCTACTGATGTATATGCTTGGAAGAAGATAAGAAATGGGGAAAGGTTATGTTTGAATATAAAAATGCAGAGATCGATAGAGATAGATATATGATGATGTTACCTAAATATCCAAACCCGAACTCCATGGGTCATCAACTCCTCTATCAAAGGAATAACTGTGTAGGCACTGTCCTCCCAATGTTCGAGGACATCGCTGTATTGCAGGTATTAACTTGATCAGAGTCAAAACGTACAAATAAATACATGCAATAAAGTTTCACCTCATTCAAGAAAGTATATATATACTCTCTCCGTCCCATAAAACATTTCTCACTAGGATTTGGATCCAAGTTTAAGAAAGTGAGAATAAAATGAATTTGCATGATTGTGATTGAGTAATAAAAAAGTAAATGAATAACAGTCACACAAAACTTTCCAAAAAGGGAAGTGAGAACTATTTTTGGGATGGTCCAAAAACGAATTTGGGAACTATTTTATGGGACATTTAATGCATTTCTAACGTTACATCATCATATTTCTAAAAATGATAAAAAGGTACTATAGATTATATATACGTAGTACTACGTAGAAAACATGCATGTCTTTACTACATTATAAATTTGAAACATATGTGGAGTACTACATACATACGTATGCAATTGAAACACATACACATATCTTTTACTTTAAGTTATACTCCCTCCGGTTCTGAAAGAACTAATAGTTTGACTTCACACAGATTAAGAAAATAAATTTGACTTTACTGTGGAGTGCACTGTTTGGCACTATTTGGACACTGTTTGGCACTGTTTGACACTGTTTTGGTGTAGATAATTTGCCAAATAAGGAAATAAGAAGAAGTGTGAAGTTAATTTCGGAACTTCCCGAAAAGGAAAATGGGAAGTTGTTTGAGAACCGGAGGGAGTAGATTTCATTTGTTCTGAAACAAATTTTGAATGTTGAAAAAAAACTTGAGATTATAAAAAGTTGATGATTGTTTAATTTCAATAACATTTTCAAAAATATAATTTTTTTCCAGATTCATTTTGATTCATATATGATATATCCCATAAATTAAATCGATTCTTTTTCCAATTAAGGAGGTGTTTGGAACTGATTCTGATTCTGCTTCTTTTTTAAAGTAGAAGTAGAATCAGAATCAATTTTCAGAAGCTGGTCACCTTCAGCTTCTAAAAAAACTGATTCTAGGAGTAAATTAGAGCACCAGAATCACTTCTGCACTTTTATCCAAACGCTCCAATTATAGGGAGCAGAAGCAGTTTTAAGAATCAAATCCAAACACCCCTTAAATGTGATGATCTAGCGTTTGTTTCATATATTGATTGAAACATGAACACCGGTAAGTATAAGTAAAGGTTATCGAATATAATGGACTTAAAATTGGAAGAGTAACATCATCTCAAACTTATCCTCAAATTAGAACACCTTATTCATTAATTAGGGTATTTATATGATGACTCTATCATTCTTTGCATCATTCTACATTTCTTCTACTTGCTAACATTCACATAAATGCACATATCATCATCATTTTAAGATATGTATATCACTTTTTCTTTCCACACTAAATATATTACTTTAATTTATAATACAATTTTCTCTCTTTCTAGTGATGATTGTACTTAGAACATACAATGATCCCAAGAAGTTGATTAAATCAAATTATCTGCACACATAATATATACCTGCAGGGTTCCCAATCGTATTGCATGTTGGTGACATTGGCATGCAGGGCCTTCTGAACATCAGGTCGGTTCATATACGCATACACGTAGTAATCACTGCACGGATCCACTATTGACTGCATCCAATTATTATTAATGATTAACATTTATGTAATTATTGATTAAAGTTCCATTCAATTAAAAATGTATTTGAATATGATTCTTATTTAATTAGTTTAGTTATTAAAGAAAATTATTACATTGAATTATTTGTAGCGTGTAATTTGTTCAAGTGTAGTGTGCACCAATTAACAAAGTCTAAATCTGCAGGTAAATCTTCTGTGACATGGAAAATAAGTCAAATTCCCTTGTATTCTACTGATGCGCATAACTTCTTTGAAGAATGCATTTACTTTTCAAATGAAATAAGTGAAAAATACCTCAATATAATTAAAATGCCCCGGTAGCGTAACTTTGATAAGTATTGTAGTGATAAGTATCGATGGAGGTTGAAATTAAAATTATTCACAAAATCACATACTAATGTTGTGTTAATAAAAAGAATATGTGTATTGATTTTTTTTATATGTGAGAATGATGATTCACAAACAGGGCCGGTCCAGACATATAGAAGGCCCTGTGCAATATTGAAAATGAGGCCCTAAGTTTTTTTTATCATTATATAATCATTATTATATGATTACTTTCACTGTTTTTAAATAATAGTGTCCTTAGATTTTTTGTGGGTTTTAAGATGAAAATAGTAGGCCCTAAAGGTAAATGAAAAGTAGAAAAGAGAATAAATTAAGAAAAGTAAAGTAATGACAAAGTATGAAAAACAAAGTAGTTACAAGCTCGTTCCAAACTGTACGAGGGTTTTGTGCTAATTAATGTAATTAGGCCTTGTGAAATAAAGAAATCACACAATTGTAATTAACAATTGTACTTTAATTACATAAAAATATTACTATTTAATGTTTGTATTTTAAAATAATAATAAGATACGAATTTTTAATCAAATAAATAAAGATTTATTATATTATATAGACTATATTTAAATTTTTGGGCCTTCTGAAATTGAGAGGCCTTGTGCGGTTGCACTTCTTGCACGCCCTCATCTACGGCCCTGTTCACAAACATTGAAGTGTATGATTTATTTCAGTTTTGAAAATAAATGAAAATATTAATGTGCTAAGTATCATTTGTAAGCTTAAAAATTAAAACCAAACATTTTGAAAGACCGATACATTTTCTTTCTTTTTTTTCATGCACGAGGTCCGCTTCTTTAAGTGTATATTATCATGGATCATTGTTTTTTGAACTAAATAATGTATAACTCATATCATAGTCCACAGTCTGAAACAAGAACCCAACAAATATAATTTGTTCTATATTATTGCATTCCTTAAATTGAAACTCTTGTTCTACGAACAAAACTATATGGGCATGCAATAATCTCCTTTCCTGATAATATATACTACCTCCGTCCCATAAAATTCTTCTCACTTTGACTTCGCACGGAGATTAAAAAAATGGAATAAAGTGAAAATGTATGATGGTGGTTGTGTAAGAAAAAGGTGAAATGAATGTGAACCACACAAATTGTCCAAAAATGGTAAGTGAGAAGAATTTTTTGAGACGGCACAAAAAAGAAAGTGAAAAGAATTTTATGGGACGGAGGAGTACTATCGTATCGTATGTTGTGTAGACCACTACGTATGAAAATGTGATATATAAGTAAATTAATTATTATGTAAAACATGAATTATTTAAAGAAATACTTCCATTTTTTAACTATTACACAAAAATTCTTTTTAACCAACCACTAACGTACTACTTTTACTTTTTTAAAGCATTTTTTTGTCAAACTTTTACTGTTAAACATTTTCTCCAAAATCATTTAAAGAATAATTTTGAAAATATTCCTTTAATGGGACGAATCAAAAAAATAAAATGGGATAAAGATAGAGAGAAACATAATATACTCACGTATGAAGCCTTGTTGGGGATTTTGGTGAGATTGGTATTAGTGCACAATGGGGCATATATGTTGTAAATATCGATATGGCCCACATTGCGATCCACTCTCGACTCAGCCATGTGGCACTCCTTTGTTTGGTTTCGATCCCCATAACTCTCAGAATAGTTGCAGTGTTTCACTATTTGTTGCAGTGTTTCATCGGAGATTATTGCATGGCTCGCAAAGTATTCGTACATCCCCATCACGTCTGCCTCGTCGTGCAGCACTGCATTTCCAATCTAAAGATTCACAATAATAATATAATTAAAAACAACAAACTTATTATTCTTATTATCGGTGTTTATATTAGGAGATTTGATATTCCAGTCTGTAATTTTTTATTAATTAATCAACTATTAATTTTGTAAGTTTGCTCACTTACTGCAACTAATAGAGTTATCGATATTAAGGAATTATTATTATTTAATAGACATTGTTGATTATAAGCCACAACTGAATTTAGAGGGCAAATGGGTCTGCGCAAGGAACAAAGAGGAGCGGGGAAAGAGAAATAAAAGAAAAAGGGAAAAGGATAAACGAAAAAGAAAAGGGAAATTGAAAAGGGAAAAATGTCATGTAGGCACCACGCAGTTCGTATACCATGCAACCGTCCCACGATGTGCATGGTATACCTGAGAGAGTGAAGAAGCAATTTGTATATCTTGGTTTTGTTATTTTTTATTTTTTCTTTTCTTAAAAATGTTAATAATTTTTTTATTTTTGATCCGATTTTTATAAAATTTATATCAATTTTTTTTTTATTTTTCATGATCTTTCAAATGAGACCAATTTTGCCTATGTAATTTTAACATATTAACATTTGCGTGTAAAAATATGTAACTTTACGTGTTAAAATATGTAACTCACGTTCAGTCAGGTCAAATGCAACTCGTGTGTATAAATATGTAACTCTACGTGTAAAAATATGTAACTTTACGTAAAAAAAATATGTAACTTGCGTTCAGACAGGTCAAATGCAACTCGTGTGTATAAATATGTAACTCGCGTATATAAATATGTAACTTTACGTGTAAAAATATGTAACTTTACGTGTAAATATATGTAATTCGCGTTCAGACAGGTCAAATGCAACTCGTGTGTATATATATGTAACTCGCGTGTAGAAATATGTAACTTAACGTGTAAAAATATGTAACTTCACGTATAAAATATGTAACTCACGTGTATAAATACATAATACAATAAAATTTTTATATACACAGTTTTAAGATAAATTGTGATTTACACAATTATTTTTCTGTATTAAATTTAGTTCGATTTTCCTTATAATACTCATTAATATAATAGTTCGATAATTTCTTAAAATTACATAAGCAATATTAGTCTCATTTGAAAGATCATGAAAAATAAAAAATGTTGATATAAATTTTATAAAAATCGGATGAAAAATAAATAAGTTATTACCAGTTTTTAACAACAAAAGCAATAAAAAAATAAGGAAACCAGGCACAATACTCCGTCGTTTTGCAACAGGGCACACCTTCCTCATGGTGCGTCGGTTGCACGATATAATTTGCCGGCACCATGTGTGCCCCGTGTTAGGCCAGGTAATTGATCGGTGGATTACCCGCCAAAAATCAGTTTGATGAAAATTACATGAAGATGTAATTGATGAAAAACAAAGTAGGAGGACCGATTTGACACTTTAAAATTACAACTGGAGTTCAACTGTTCAAGTCCTGTTGGAGACTCTTTAAAAAAGAGTTCTGGAACTATGATTTGGTCTGCAAACTAAATGACATGGAATTAAGGATGCGGCAGTTTCTTCTACAAATAATATTAAACACTGACGTGGCACCCATAAGTCGATGACAAGACAAAAACTACCCGTATTTGAAAATAAATTAAAGGTAGATTCTATGGTACCCTTAAGTTACCATACATTTGTCCACATGGATCAATCATAATGATGTAGTTGAATTATTTAAATCTAAATTAAAAATGATGTAATGATTTGAACCAATCAAGTGAGTGACACGTACGATATCCCATTTTTTAAATAGATATCGGAGTTGTCACCTAAATTAAAAAGTACTCTCATTTGAGAAAATACTACGTGGAGTAAGATTTAAAGGTACCATCATTTGAAAAAAGAAACTTTGAAACTAATGAAAGTACAGATTATTGATGGGATGCAAGGCATGCGCCTCAATAGGAGGGAGCTAGCTGACCAGGTGTCAAATAATCATTACTGTCATTCCAACTAAGAGACCGTTCAGTAATGCCTTAATAGGCTATTTTTATCGGGGACGTAGCTCACTGATAACAAGAAAGTGTCACAAGGGTTAGGTCCCGGTTCAAATCCCGATAACTGCGATGAGGGATTACCATGCTAAAAATGCACAAGGCATCTGCAAGTATCGGGGACAGAATTCCACTCTCTATCTGTTAGATTGGGATTATATCCTCCCAACGTACCGTCCGGTCTGGGTTGAGAGGCCCTCACGGATGAGATGTCATCTTTTTTTTAATCGGCTGTTTTGGCTGATTCGGCTGAAATTTATGAAGTTCTGGCTAGAGTGACTAGATTGGTTGATTCTACTGATTTATGAAAAATTTATATTTAAAATATATTTTATTAATAAAATAAAATAAAAAATTATATGAAAAATAGCTAAAATGATTCTCTACAGTAACCTCAGCCAATACATCCAGAAAAGTAACTTCAACCTTACTTTTTCTTATTATTAGATAATTCAGCGCGTGAAATAAAAAATTACGTGTTTGATGATAAAGTTGGCTGGTAAATCTGATAAGCCGAAACACAAGATCACCAAAGGGCTCTAATACTACGTACAAGACATTCAGTTTTGTTGTTGTTGTTACTTTTAAATACTCCCTACTCTCATTTTGATGGTCTTACTTTTATTTTTGGGTCGTCCCAAAATAAATGTCATATTTCTTGTTTTGACAAAAAAATGAAGTCCATATATATCATACACTTTATTCTACCCAAATCTCAAACATAACTTTTTACTTTTTTAACCAGTTTATTAATAATTGTACCAAACTGAAACAAGATAACCAATAAGGAACGGAGGTAGTAATATGTTTGATGGAGTATATGGCCCGGGAACCCCCGGCCCACAGACTCCCACTACTCCAACAAAGGCCCAACAAGCCCAAAAAGCATTACAGGCCCAGAATTATAACGCCCCACGCACAAATCAACCCTCAAGGCACATTGGGGTGCCCTCGGCCCCCTGACCGAGGGCTCCAAACTATCACAGCATGGATAGTTCGAACAAACAGAGGAACTGGGAGAAAACGACGAAAACAGTAGCCCTCGGCACCTGGAGCCCTCGGCACTCAGGGATCCTCGGCACTAAGAGCCCTCGGCTAGTCCTCTGCAGCCGAGGGCACCTCTCCCGACATAATATCCGCGCCACATGCGTACAGATCACCGTACCCTGTACAGACGTCCCATCCAACAGCCGCATTAAATGCGGCCACATGCGGCCGCCAACGCCAACCAGTTAAGGTGACCTCTCGGCCAATGGGCGCTTGACACGTGTCCCTGTCCGGCATTTATTGCTACTATAAATAGCACCCCCTTTTCCCCGTTGTAGACCACGACATTCACACTGAATACACTCTCTCTCTTACTTACTTGTGCTCTGACTTCTCTCTAAATTATTCTCTGCAATAACCCCTCGGATATATACCCCCCGGGTAGACTATCCATCATTTGGTGCTCTCGTTGAGAGGTCGAACAATCGAGTAAGAAACCCTCCCCCTTCGCCAAACACTAGCCCTCTACCAAAATGGTGAGAACAACACGTGCCAACTCCAAAAACGTAGAAGACAAGAACCTTGCCCTCGGCGACGTCAACGCCCCCGAAGCCTCTCACAGGGCTCCCGAGGGCGGTGTCATCGTTAGGCTGGAACAGGCGGCTGTCGACCTACGCCTTCAGATCCAACAGAATGCCCCCGATGCCCGCCTCGGCATCGAGGCCAAGAAGAAAAACCGGAGCGATGACCAAGTCAGTCCTCCGGTTCTCACCATCGACGTGCAATCGGCGCTCTCCGCCTTCATCCAAACGCTCACTCAGAACCCGGGTGCCTTCGGCACCCTGGCTCCGGCTCAACCCCAGGTTGGGGAGAACATCATTCTTCCCCCTCTGCCACACCCCTTCGGAAACCCCACCCCTCGGGTTAGGAACGACGAAGGGGTAGTGGCCCAAGATACGTCCTCCCAGGAAGTTCAGTCCCGGGACCGCCACAATGACAACAGAGAAAGGCCCCGCACTTCCGCCCTCAACCGGCTCGGAGGAGGGCCAGACCGCCGAGGGGTCCAAGACCGCCTCATAGGGAAAGCACCCCAAAGGCCCCAGGAAAGCGGAGGGTCTGTCTCGAGGGCAGACGAGGAGCGTCCCCCTCGGGACAAAGGCAAGGCACCCCTTCATGCCAATGATGCTCGCCACCAGATCAACCAGGCCCACTCGGCCCGGGTTCGTTCGCAAGGGGGCGGAGACCCTCCCGAAGGATCCCCGGGACGAAATTATTGCGGCCCTCCAACGTCGGCTTGACGAAATGGAGGCCAACAATGCTCACGCCACCACCTCCACCCCTCATTTAGACCTCAAATACGAGGCCATGATGGCCAAAATGGAGGAATTACAGAAGAAGGTAGCCGAGGGCTCCGGGGAACCCGTCATCCAGCTCCGGACCCGGACGCCATTTACCCCAAGGGTACTAGCGGCCCGGATCCCGGAAAAATACCGAGGGCAACACATACAGCCCTACAACGGGAAGACGGACCCCCAGGAACACTACAACAAATACCAGAACAGCATGATGATGGTAGGGGCGTCAGACGAATATTTGTGTCGTTGGTTCCTCTCCACCTTAGAGGGGCCGGCATACGAATGGTTCAACCGGTTGCCCGAGGGTTGCATCGATTCATGGCAAGAGCTCGCCCAGCGATTCTTGACACAATTTGCCGGGAGGCGTCGCACGAGGAAGCACTTCTCCCACCTCCTAACCATACGCCAGAAGAGGGATGAGACCCTTCGGGACTTCCTGGAACGCTGGAGAACGGAGGCCGACAAAGTCGACGGTGCTGATGACGGGACCCTCCTGGCCCTCCTACACACCGTCCTCCGCACCGGCAACTTTTCAAGGAGCCTCATCATTGACCCCCCCCCCCCCACGACTACATAAGGGCTTTGCAGTGGGGGGACCGATATGCTGAGGCCGAGGAGGTGGAGAAATACCAC